ACTTATGAGGCCAAGGGCCACTTTGTGAATTTTGAAATTATGAGGTCGAGGGCCAACTTGTGAATTCTGAAATTATGAGGCCGAGGGCCAACTTGTGAAGTATGAATCTGTAACTTGTGAAACTATGAATCACAAAGGCCGAGGGCCAATTTGTGAAGTTATGCATCTAAGTTAAGCCAAGGGCTAATTTGTTAATGTGTGAACCCATCAGGCCAAGGGCCAACCTATGAAGTTATGAACCGACAAGACTGTCCTTAAATGTGTACAGAATCAGACTAACCACAGGATTTTTGCATTTACTTATCTAATTAGAGAAATGTGTACATTGTAAGTAAATTAAGTTAATCTTTAAATTGTTTATGTACTACTGTTCACTGAGCTTGACTCACTTTGTCTTATGTCTGTTTCTGTAGGCACTCCACCTGGAGGTCAGTTTTAACCCATGGCATCCGTGCCTCTTTTGTCAACCTCAGAGTATCCAGGCACTTAAGTGAAGGCAGCCTTTTTGCTAAACTTTTGATTTTACACTCTGATTGTTTGCTTAAGGTTGATGTATATATAATTCCTTTGCCTGTCCATGTTGTTTTACGCCCAATTCTAAGGGCTGGGTCTGTATATATATATGTACATAACTAACTCTCTGGTGCACGTCACTGTATGTTTATTTGCCTTATGTTCTGTCTGTGATCCTGGCATGATAGTGGTCGCTCAATGGATGCAGTTCTTTTATTTATGTTAATTTATATTGCTAAATGCTTCCGTTCAGGCCCCATATGATATGTATACCAGGTTATGCGTCCATTTCTGTGTAGGTCATGCCCAAACTTTTAGGGGCAAGTTTGGGGCATGACAGTACACCTAGTCTATGTCGTGTACTTGGAGAACCATGGGGAGATGCTGTCGAAATTTTGTTAGAGATGGATAGAGCGGTATGAGCTACTTTTTACAATATAGACTGTACATTCCTGAATGGGAAAGTAGGATAAACCAACCTATTAGAAAAGAGTTAGAGGTGAATGGTGTCATGTCGCATGCATTATAAGGTACTTAATTGAGGTTAAGAATAATTAAAATGAAATGATAATTTTGAACCTTGTTGATTTGGCAGTGACATTTGTAGTGTGAGACAAAGTCAGATGGATAAAAGTTGGATAAATCAGCATAGGTTACATCCAGAATATATAGAAGGGGTTGAGGAATTTGTTAAACTTGCATGCCAAAATAATCCTCTATCAATTAAAGTCACATGTCCATGTAAACGGTGTCGAAATGTCAAACTAGTAAAGAAAGACCTTTTGGGGGAACATTTAATGGTCAATAGGTTTCTTCCAAGCTACACCAGATGGATTTTTCACGAGGAAGATTTACCGGCGTCTGTGCCATTGAATGAGAATGTTAGTGATTCGAATGATAACGATGAAGTCAATGAAATGATATATGAGGGGTTCGGACTTCCTCCACCAAGCTTGGTTCATCTTGTTAGTAATGAGACAGGAAGTTCTAATATCGAACTAGGCCCGGATAAGAAAACTGAAAGATTTTTCAATTTATTGAAGGAGGCCGAAAGAGAGTTGTATCCAGAGTGTCACAAGTTTTCAACGCTCTCATTTGTTGTTCGATTATTGCATATCAAGTGCCTTAGTGGATGGAGCGACAAGTCTTTCACGATGTTGCTTAAACTTTTGAAGGATGCATTCCCAAAAGGTGAAACTTTGCCAAAGTTGTTCTATGCAACGAGGGCACTCCTTAGGGAATTGGGCCTCGATTATCATAAGGTACATGTATGCCCAAGAGATTGCTCACTGTATTGGAAGGAGACAGCTAGTAGGGATGATTGCATAGTGTGTCAGACGCCTAGATACAAACAGTTTGAGGGTGAGAAGAATGATTATAAAAAGAAGCAACAAAGAATTTCCCAGAAGATTGTGAGATACTTTCTTTTGATTCCAAGGCTTCAAAGATTGTTCATGTCATCCAAAACTGCTTCATTAATGAGATGGCATGCAGAGGGCCGAATTGATGAGGGCAAAACGAGACATCCTGCTAACTCTCCTGTCTGGAAAAATTTTGATACTTTGTATCCCAAGTTTGCGAGTGAGCCTCGCAACGTCAGACTAGGTTTAGCAGTGGATGGATTTAATCCATTCAAGGCAATGAATGTTGCTCACAGTAGTAGGCCAGTTATTGTGATGCCTTATAATTTGCCACCGTGGTTGTGCATGAAACAACCTCATATGATGATGATATTGCTCATTGATGGTCCTTCTTCACCTGGCAATAACATTGATGTCTACTTGCGCTTGTTAGTGGATGAACTGAATGCATTGTGGGAAAATGGTGTTCAGACGTACGATGCAGAAACTAATCAAATGTTCCAATTGCACACGGTCTTATTGTGGACAATAAATGATTTTCCTGCATATGCAAATTTGTTTGGATGGAGCACGAAAGGTGCTTTAGCTTGTCCTTGTTGTAACATACATACTCGACATCGGTATTTGAAGAATGGAAGGAAAATTTGTTACATGGGGCATCGCCGCTGGTTGAATGCGAGTCACAAATTTCGAAAAGATGATGTGTCTTTTGATGGAACTTTTGAATTTGAACCATGTCCAACTCGGTTATCGAGGGCTAATGTGTTACGATAGCTAGGGCCTAAGCATCAACCAACTAACAGACAAAAAAGAACTAGGAAAGGAAAGGAAAAAGAGGACAACGAGGAGGATCATAATTGAAGGAAGAGGAGTATTTTCTTTGAGCTTCCATATTGGGAGCATAATTTGATTCACCACAATCTTGATGTAATGCACATTGAGAAGAATGTGTGTGATAATGTATTGTGGACAATATTAAATGTTGATGAGAAAGGAAATGATAATTTAAATGCTTGTCGAGACTTGCAAGATATGGGAATTCGAAAGGCATTACATCCTAAAAAAGGGATTGGGAAGAGGTATTATTTGCCGCCTATATGTTTCACTATGAACAATAGAGAGAGAGGTTTGTTTTGTACACTCCTGAAGAATATCAAAGTTCCAGATGGGTATGCATCCAATATTTCTCGTCGTGTTAACCTCAAACAACATAGCATATCTAGACTGAAAAGTCATGACAACCATATATTGATGCAACAAATACTTCCAATAGCAGTGAGAAATTTGTTACCAAAGAAAGTTGTTGAACCATTGATTGAGTTAAGCAATTTCTTTAGGCAGTTGTGCTCCAAAACTCTAGAGCCAGATGGGTTAGATCATCTTCAACCCCAAATTGCTCTTACACTTTGCCATCTTGAGAGAATTTTTCCTCCATCATTTTTCAATATAATAGAGCACTTACTTATTCACCTAGCAGAGGAGGCCAAGATTGCCGGTCCAGTGCAATATCGCTAGATGTACTTTATAGAAAGGTGTGCAATTCTACTCCAATTTACAGTTGTATTCATTTGTTTGTTTATAATTGAAAGTCGTGTGCATTTGTTTGTTTATAGGTATCTTATGACACTTAAGTCATATGTGCGTAATCGAAGTCATCCAGAAGGTTCAATTGCAGAAGGATACTTAATTGAAGAGTGTATGACCTTTTGCTCAAGGTACTTGGATGATGTCGAGTCAAAATTGAATCGACCAATATGGAATTACGATGTTAGCGACAATCCTGGGATATTACTGGGTCATGCTTTAGGAAAAGGAAAAGGGTTTGCGCTTGATAACACATCATGGGTACAAGCTCATTGGTATGTGTTATTTAACATTGTTGCGGTTGTCCCATATCGAGAGTAAGATACAATCTTTGTTCCAAAATTTTATTGATACCATTAATAAGTATCTTGCATTTTATAAGTACTTTAAATTTATAGGGAACATCGTGATTTTATTAAGCAGTCACATCGTCGTCTCAAAGATTTTGATGTGGATCGCCATCACAATGATGAGTTTCCCAGATGGTTTAATTCTCATGTAAGTACTAATAACTTACATGTTTCTAATTTTCAATTCTCATGTTTTCAATTTTTAATTCTCTGTTAGTTGATGTTTAATTTTGTTGACTTTTTAAACATAGGTTGAAGAGCTTCTAGCTATTGAAAATGCTGTGTTGTCAGATGAGATTAAAACTTTGGCATTGGGACCTAGTAAAAAGACCACGAGATTCAGTGGGTATATAATTAATGGTACTAGGTATCATACGAGGAGTCGTGAGTGGAGAAGAAAAACTCAAAATAGTGGGGTTATGGTGAAAGCAAAGACTTGTAGCTATGCAAGTACCAGAGACATGAATCCTGTGGAAGGTGAAGTAGCATACTATGGATATGTGACAGATATTATTGAATTGTATTACTCATACGACCGTAGATATGTGCTATTCATGTGCGAATTGATTGACAACAACAAAAGACTGAAGCAGGATGGGTTTGGTTTTACACTTGTTAATTTCAATTATTGTTATATACAAAGAAACAAAATAGCGATGAGCCATTCATCCTAGCATCTCAGGCACAACAAGTTTTCTATGTTAATGATCCCGTTGAAGCTGATTGGGATGTTGTAGTCAAGATGAAACCTAGAGACTTGTATGAGGTGTGTGGAGAACAACCAATTAATGATGGAGAACATCACAATGAAGTGGAAGGATTTGGCGACCAAGAATTAGATGCAACTTCGTTTGCTTGTGAAGAGGACATAAATTGGGTTAGACAAGGTGAAGTTGGAACAACTATTGATGAAACTATTGGACCTCTTGGGATATCGACACAGACACAATCTGAAGATGCTGAAGAAATGATATGATATTGTAATTTTGTTTCATATTCATTGTTACATTTGTGCTTTTCGCATGGATATTCATGTTAACGAAACCTTTGCTTTTAAAATGCGTCATTTGTTTTCTTTTCAACGTGGCTGTCCTTGAGACAACCTTTTATGTCCTTGAGAATGATCATACCTGCTATATTAAGATTGTGTTTAAAATTTAAATTTGTAGAGAAATTTTTTAATATTTTGGAAAGTCTTAATGTAGTAGATTTTTTTGTGCCAAAAATGGTGTTGAACTGGTTAAAATTACAATATCATATTCTGTTAGATATTAAAATTCTGTTGTTTTTGTATTCATTATCGTATCTATTGTACTTTATATTCATTGCTAACCCATAAAATTCTACACGTATGCTTGTGGTCTTCTGTAAACTAGCATGACAGATCGACGATGCTCTAGGCAGAGGCAACATTCAGCCTCTGCAAATTCTGCGAGTTCTTATAGTGGGAGTGCAGATGAGAGTTCTTATAGTGGGAGTTCAGAGGAGAGTACACGCATCATACCTGATCCACCCATGTCATGGTATCCTCCAGGTAGCTGGCCTAGTACATCATCGAGTACTGGTTCAACACATGACACTACTTCTGGTATGAATTATTTTATTCAATTGAATTACTCCATTAGATTTCTCTGTTAATGTTCTTTTTTCTTTTGATGTTTTACATTTCTTTTTTTTAAACTAAGTGACACTACTCCATTTGCTCCATGGTTTTGGACTAGAAAACTCTTCTATATGGAAAAAAAATAAAATGCAAAATGGTTCGTTGATTTCAATTACTGATCTTGTTAATTTATAATATAAACTGAGGGAAAATATAATATAAACTGAGGGAAAATAAAATGACAAGAAAATATAATATAAACTGAGGGAAAATAAAAATAAATTAGTTGATTTCAATTACTGATCTTGTTAATTTATTAAGTTTTTAAATCAAGTTCAAATAAGTTCTAACGAAATTTGACTTTGACTTGACTCGTTTACGATCCTAATAGTAGCCAGTGAGTCTAAAGATGCATCTACTCTATGTTGGCCATGAGTTTGCATGAGATGGAATCAAACTGATAATAGCTAGTCACTTAGTTCTCTATATTCTACTCACTCTTTTTTCTTTTCTATTTTCTATTTTTAGAATAGCTCATATGTCAAAAAAGAAACTACAGTAACAATAGACAGAGAAATGCATTATTTGACTCAATTCTTCTTTCTTTGCTATCTTTTTTTGGCCAATAAAATTCAAGTTTGTCAAACAGTGTTCTGCTTCATTTGCAACCTGAATTGGAAACTTCAATACCATGAGACATTGAGAAAGAAAGTGAAAACCATAAAATGTAGTTCAACAAAGAATATTACTTTAGGAATAATATCTTTTGTAACATTAAGCAGTTTGTCAACAACATAATGCTGATAGAGATAGGTGTTGGAAAATTTGAATTTCTGCTTCATTTGCAACCTGAATTGGAAACTTCAATACCATGAGACATTGAGAAAGAAAGTGAAAACCATAAAATGTAGTTCAACAAAGAATATTACTTTAGGAATAATATCTTTTGTAACATTAAGCAGTTTGTCAACAACCTATTTTTTCCAACAATAGGTTGTCAACAGCATGAAGATGACAAAATCAATAACTCCAGATAAGAACAAGCAGAAAAGGACATCCACAAATGTACTGCAACCAAGATATAAAGCAGACCTGATTCTAAGTCAGATGCTTCAGAACCAGTCAAATGCTTGAAACTGTCATTTACACTGCCAGCAGATGATACAAAAATCTATGATGCTTGAAACTGTCATGTTGGGCATCGTCGGGGTGATTGTTGTTGCAATGATTTGGGACTGATTCGAGACACTTGATCAAAGCAGAGTGAAAACAGAAAACAAAAAAAGGAAAACAGAACAAAAATAGAGTGATTAAATATAGCAGTGCATGTTGAGAAAAGCAGTATATAGAACACATTAGGAGATCAATATTACTATGAATGTCACCCTCTTGCGATGACAATGAATAATTTATCGATGATGTGATGTTTTGTTGACAATTACATTCATTTCTTTGACAATTTTGTGACTGGAACCCAAGTATCTTATCAATTTTTATCATTATTTCTAGTATCTTCTAACATGATATTGATATTTGGATGAGTAGGTCATAGTTCGAGAGGCCCAACACTCATGCATGGTAGTGATTGGAACCCAAGTGGTGGCATTTTACATATTGTGCCTAATGAGTTGAACCAAGTGGTTGACGGGTATACACCCTTGGCCTCTCGTTTGGGTGTTTTAGCTCGAGATGGGAACCTTATGCCCCTCACTTATAGAACTTGGAGCCATGTACCGAAGGAAAACAAAGAGAGAATTTGGAGAGAAGTAAAGGTAAAAGAATTATTTCATTTTACATATCAATTTTAATCTTAATTTGTTATTATTTATTTTATTTGTTTCATATTTTGTAGTTGATCAATTTTAAGCTTTGATTTTTTGGAAAGCTTACCTGCTTGGCCTTGCAGAGATCAAATTATGAACATTATTTTAAAGCTGATGTAGTGAAGATGACTGCTTTGAAATCACACGTCTTCTTTAAAATATGTGGAAATTTGTTTTTTAAAGCAAGATCTGTGGTTGAGAGTTCATGGGCAGGTTTTTTTAGAATTGATCATTGGTGCCAGAACTAATAAATATATTCACGATTTGGGATGAGAATGAGTTGGGTTTTTTTTGTTGAAATCACTTTTAATGATATTGAAGTTATCATTTAGGGTGATATACGTGCATTATTTGTGTGTTTGTGCACAAGCATTAAAATACTGCATAAGAGCCCAGCAACTTACTCAGAATCAACATGGATGTTGGTGTTATTAAAATCAAATCATGAATTAATGATGAATTTTGGTGAGGTTCTATGCGAGGGAAAAGAACCCAAGTCAAACACAATTTCCATAACTTAACCAAAGTGTCGCATGAAAACAAGGTCTGCATCATACAGTCACATAATCTCTATAAAATTCACATTATCTTTTATCATGCAAATATATAGGAAATTTGTAGCTCTCATCATCTTTTGCTTCTTAAATTCTAGTTAGAGTGTGCATTTATCTTTTACCTTAGAAACTTAGGCATAAGAATTGAAACAGACAAATTGGTTTGTTGCAGTATATAAAATAGGATCATTGTAGGACATGGTTTCACTTTAAGTTTTCCACTTGTTGAATGACTAAAATTTTCAAATACATGATTAACTATCCTATGAGCCCTAAACATGGTAGATATATTTAGAGGGATAAAAGCTTTGTTTGGTGATGTAGTAGATGGTTACAAAAAGGATAAAAGAATTGTTTATTTTTTATTGAACCATTCTTTATAAGTGCATACCTAAGCATGTTGATTCGATTACAGGGTTTGGCTAAATGATGAAAGAAATTTAGTCTCATTGCTCATATTATATGTGGATCAGTGAATACATGTCAAGGCATATATTTGCACATATACAGTCACACAAGTGTAAATAGATTAATATGCATATATAGGCACATATATGAGATGCCTAGGTCTATATATATATAGATTCATATGCATATATAGGCACATATGGAGCCTTATTTTCCTTGGTTGCTTGCCTCCCACAGGATTGAGAAGCTTTATTTTGCTGGCCAAGTTGCTGCTGTGTGTATGTTGTTGTAAAGTGACTTAAAAAAATACTGGTCTGTTAGCTACTGCTGTGGGCTTGCTGTTGTGTGTATGCAATAGTCACAAAGTTGCCAATTATTTGCAGGTCAATACAGATGCCGATGAGTCAATGAAGAAATTTGTTTTGGCATCTGTTAGAAAAAAATGGAGAAAGTGGAAGGCTAGATTAAACAATTGGGGTATACGCCATTCGACAACGATGCTAATAGGTTAACTCATCGACCCGAAAGTGTACATGAGCATCAATGGCGAAGCTTAGTCTATTATTGGGGCACTCAGAAGGCACAGGTATCATTTAAATTGTTTATTGAACTCTATCGTAATCTCATAAGATGAGTTTGTTAATTAATAAATTATCTTGTGTTTGTGTTCATATGTAACAGAAAAAAAGTACAAAAAATAAAGAAATTCGGAAGAAGAAGACATTAAATCACATAACTGGCAAAAAACCATTCTCAGTTGTTCGAGTAAAGGTATATAGTTTCTTTATATTTCAAATTGAAATTGTATATTTTGATTTTGTTACTTAATTTTAAGTGTAATTGTAGGAAACTAATAAGAAGAATGGAGGTCCTGCAACTCCCTTAGAGGTGTGGATGGCTGGGTACACGAAGGATAACAAACCAAGTAATGATAAAGTTGTTGAGGTCATGGTATGTAGCACCATAATTATATACTTTGCATGTATGGAATGTATTAGATACTTGTCTCATATTTGTTTATTTATTTATTTTTTAAAGAAATGTTATGAAATTACTGGCGAAAAAGGAGAAACAATAACTGAGATAACCTTCTACCCCCATTTGCCTACAAACACCAAACAAGCTTACATGCAGCTCACAGATTATAATTTATAATAATGCATTTTGCAGAACATTGATAGCTATGATTAGTTTGAGAAATCATTGCAAGTGCTCACTCTAGAGACTAAGTGGAGCATTGGCTTCAAGATGTTTATGATATCAACCCAAGTAATTTTGAACTCTTATTGTCAATAAGACATAAATCTGCTACTAACATATATATAAGATACTCAGTAATTATTTTTGATTAGTGTGCCTGACCTAGAAGGCAGAAACTTCTCAGGAGCCTTTGCACCTAATGAAAGTGTGATCATTCTAGTGTTTCTTCAGAGATTAATTTAATTTTTACCACATAATATGTTACATCAAATTACTCAATTGACTTAAGATATTTCTTTTCCCTTCCAATTTGACTCCAACTTCAATTTAGTCTTGTTCCCTTTGCTATTCTAAGGCCATTATGTAACTTTAACATAGGATCTTTCATTCAATTTTTTCACATGATCGAATTTAGTGAAAGGTTCTTGTTTGATTCCATTTACCTTTTTTTGCTACCAAATCTACAAATCAAGGACTGTATTTTTATGAATTCTGAATTTGAGCATATGAAGTGGAAGTGTCATTGAAATAATTTTGAATCTGGATTGATGATGTTATTGAATTCATATGGCCCAATGGAAGCAGGTTACATTTAACGGCACTAGTTATGAACAATTTTATTGGTGGCTAATTAGACACAAATGAAGGACCTCTGAGCGCAATCCAATGCTACAGATGAAGAAATTATCACACAGGTTCTAGGGCCTGAGCGACCTGGTCATGTTCGAACATATGGATTGGGTCCTTCCCCGACAGATGTCTTTGGAGGCGGATATAGGCAATCACAAGAACAAACTCGTATCATCCAAACGCAAGTCCAAGAGCAACTTAACCAATATAAAGCACAAATGGAGATGCAAATGAAGGAGATGATGGATGCTATGCTTAATCAACAGAAAGTACAAATGGAGATGCAAAGCACAATCCAAGCTCAACAAGCACGAATAGAGCAATTTGAGTCTCAACAGGCCATGGGTGGGCCTGTTGCACCAGCTGCTACACATGTGCATTCACAACAACAATCCCATGCATACACCTCATCGTTTAATTGTCATCGTTCGTCCGAGGAAGTGAGTAATAGTTAATTATGAAATTTTCATATGACATTTTATTCATGTTATTTGTTCTTATCAAATGCAGGTTCACATATCAAAGAAAGAGAAGAAGAAGAAGAAGATATGACAAACTCAGGTTCATTCTAAACCATTATAGTTGGATTTGCTTCCTCCTTCTCACTTATTTGTTGATTGGCTTCAGATTCAGTCTAGTTAGTTAAGTTCTATGATGTGCATGGTCATAAACATTTTGAGTCTTTGTTGTGTACTTAATGTTATTAAGAAATGCATTAGAAAATGCTAAGTTGTGAGGGTCGGGAAATTAAAAGGAGAGATTTAGAATGTGGGAAGTCCGTGGACATTAAATGGATTTTGTTTTTTCTTAGTGATTCTCAACCTTCATTGCTGTTATGTAGGCATTGCTGTATAGGCTATCCGGTGATTATAATCCATTGCATTCAGATCCTAAGTTTGCAGAAATTACAGGGTTAGTGCACCAAATAATTCAAAACTGCATTCTCTTGCCATGTTTTTTTTATTTTTTTATTTTTTTTTAACTCTCTATTAGATGTACTGTTATTGACTCCTAGATTCATGGATCAAGCCAACTGCATTTTTGGAGATATTAATTTTACCTGGGACTATGCTTCATTTCCCATTGGCAAGTTTATGCATTTTCAGCCAACAAAATAAATAATCAATGATTATTGATGCATTCTTGGCTGTTTTAACTTCTTTAGATTTGATGACTAGATTTTTTTTTGGTTGTCTTGAGTTTCTAAAACTCAACGTGGACATGGAATCCTTTGTTTGAATTGCATCCTATGGAAACAATGTGTTACAGACTCATGGTTGCTTAGATGTCTTAGTTGACAATATGCATGTATATGACACTAGATGTGAAATTTTCACTTGAAATGATGATTCTGGTGAGATTATATTATGCATGTATATGGCATGTATTGAGGATTGGTTTTAAATCTAGCAGTTTGGTTGCATAGAGCAAACATAAAACATGAGATCCCCAAATTATGAATTCAGTTTCCACCACCAGCAGGGAACCCACCCTTCCCCCCCAAAAAAAAGAAAAAAAAAAGTGGCGTTTTTCGAAAAAAACGCCACTAAATGACGTCATTGTGACGTCACACATTAAATTCGTGCAGGAAATAAAAAAAAAAGGTGGCATTTTTCGAAAAAACGCCATTAAATGACGTCATTGTGACATCACACGTTAATTGGGGACGGAAGGCGAGACGGTCATCAAAGATTTTGCGGCGTTTTAAGAAACGTCATATAATATTTTTAGCGACGTTTTTCAAACGTTGTGTAGCTATTGCGGCGGCCGTATCAGCGGCGAAAATATTACACGTCACTATAAGATATTATAGCGTTTTTCAGGATTATCGCGGCATTTCTAAAACGCCGCTAAAAAACGAATTTCTTGTAGTGACATGTTTTCATGGTGTTAGAATGTTGAAGAAAATTATTTGACAACGTTTCATGGCCTGAATATATTTTTAACTTCATTGCTGTTTGAAGGCAACAGCAATGCTGACTTTACCAGGTCACTGTTTATTCCACAGAATGAATTTTCAAGTGATTCAAATTGGCAAAGTTATATTTTTAAGTTACCTTTCAAATGCCGTTGGTTTCATAATTTTTTATTAAGTATTGAGAGAGAAACACCAATTTTTTCAAAATGTGACAGAATCTGTCTAGTTTTCTTATAAAAATTATTTGACCATCTTCGACTGGTTTTCAATCTTCACACCCTTCT